GTCCAGCCTGTGGTAGAGCCTTCCAAGCTCGTGTTGGTCTGATCAGGGATAGTTGGACACACTGTACCTTGACTCCAACACAGGGATGTCATTTGGGTTTTCTTTAAGCACAAGGGAAAACAACTAACCAACCAACCATGCAGGTGGGAACAGCCTTCTTCTACTGGCTGTGTCCCTGGAGCTGGTGGAATCTTTGCCACAGTCTCTCTCTTCCATTAGCAGCCAAGGGTAAATATCTCATTCCCCCAAAGCGTGGATACTAGGCACTAAGCTGGGTGGGGAAAAGGCCACAGTCCACCTTTTCTTTAGGGCCCATGGCCCAGAGAAACTGGGTTTAGGGCTTTGGTCTTATTTCATTTCTGTGTTTTAGTTCTAGGTGCAGAGAGTAATCCTGCACTAGGGAGTCTGAGCCAAGGTGACCTTAGAGCCTGGATTCCAGGCAAGATGTTGCTGCCAGCCCAGTAGGGAAGCCTTGAGAAGCCAAGGTGCTGGGATCAAGTCCAAATGGACTTTGGACTGGGTGAGACAATGCTACATAGGAATGAAATTAAAATGTGAACCTAATTTCTCTCCCTTTCCCAGAGACCTAGGTAGTATGGGAGGGATTGTGTCCCCTAGGTATTGGGGAAAGGGGGCAAAAATGTTGTATATGTGTTTGTGCTATACTTTTGAAATAAACATTTATTTGTAAAGGCTAGTCTGACTGTTAAGAGGTTGAATGGAATTTGGATGCTAAAATTCCCTGAAGTTTCCCTAAAATTGAGGCAACTCAATTTGTGGGGGCTTCAGCCAGTATCAAAGCTCCCCAATCCCCTTAAGGGTCCCAGGCAACCTTGGGGGAGGAGTGAAATGTAACCTATATGGCTCTCAGCAGTGGGGGCTAGAGAAGCAGCCTACTGTTCAAAGTTCTCATGACCAAAGGGCCCAGTTTTACGTTTGAGGGAGTTCTAACTTCTCTGGCTCATGGCCTGCACCCAGAAAATCTGGGAAAATCCCAACCTGGCACCCCTCCATTCACTGACACCAGCTTCCCTTTCAAGTACACAGTCTACAGAATTAAAGAAGGAAAGTTTTATTGGAAAAATCCAATAAAACAAAATAAAATCTCAAATAAAACCCTAGGAAAATAACTCTCTCCCTTCTCTGTGGGCTGACAACCTTGCCACTGACATAGTGAACAGCTCCCATGCCTGAAGAACTTACTGTAAAAAGTGTGGCAAGCACCAGCCTTGGAAAGTGATGCATCACAAGAAGGGCAAGATTGCCCTATACGCTCAAGGGAAAAGGCACAATGACCAGAGTAGAGAAGCTACAGTAGTCAAACAGAGCTAATTTAAAAATTGTACAAAGAAGATTGTACTGAGGCTTGACCATGTTGAGCGCAACTGCAAATCTAAGGGGACTGTGGCTATTGGCAGGAGACAGGATAAGGGACCAAATAATCCAATTCCAAGTTTCACCTTTGCTGTTATTATTGGCAGACCTGAGTAAGCAATCCTTGGCAAGAGAGATATGGGATTTGAACTGGAGTCCTCTGAATCCAAAATGGATTCTGCATCACTTGACTTCCTCATCACTCCCAGCTGCTGTCCTTATCTTTTGCTTTCTCCATGTTCTGCTGTTGTCTCATTGGCTCCTCCTATTGCATGGTATTTGGCACTGCCAGATGTTCTCAGGCAAAGCTGAAACTGTCCTTTGGAACAGAGTGAGATCTTTCTCTGTCCCTGAGTGCAAAATGAAAGTCCTCCAGTTTTCTCTATCTGGCAGGAAGCACATTTCTCTTTGGGTTCCACATTAGGTGTCAGATTAGGGACTCCCTCTTCCTGAAGTTGTTCTCCTTTGCCACCATTCCTGTGACTTCTGACCTCACACACTAGCCCAGGGAGAAGGTTCCTGTTGTCCTTCAGTTTCAAGAGAATCTCTGTGAATAACCTCAGGTGTAGGTTGGGTGACTTATATTGGGTGGGGCATCTCCCACCAGAGGGAGCAATCCTCACTTGTTTAAGAGTTGATAGAGAGTAGACTAGTGATTTCCTTGATATAGGGAATTCCCATATGAGGAAATTTCCTTTACCAATGCAGGTTGGCAGCTAGCTAGGTGGCTTAGTGTATAGAATGTTGGACTTAGAGTCAGGGAGACCTGAGTTCAAATCCAGTCTCAGATACTTCCTAGCTGTGTGAACCTGGGAAAGTCTCTTTATTTCTGTCTGTTTTGTTTTCCTCATCAAAATGGGGGAAAAATAATAGCAACTACCTTCAAGCGTTGTTAGGAGAATAAAATAAAATAATGTTTATAAAACCTTGGAAATCTGAAAGTGCAATATAAATGTTAGCTATTATTATTATTATTCTCTGCAATTTATAATCTTAAAGATTGCCTAGAACAATGGTATCAAACTCAGTTAGAAATAGCAGCCACGACTCCTGTATGTGAAGGCTGATTTCTGTACATATCTTAATGTCTTTTGCCCCCTGTAAGAAATTAACTATTTGTTGTTTTCCTTTTCTGATATTTTGCTCATTGCACAATTGTTTTGTGGTTAAATCAATATTAAATTGAGATGCCTTGGGGGAAAGAAAAACTGCATATTGATTTAGAAGACCACCAATTACCATTATTCATTTTATTGTGTTTTTATTATTTTGTTAAATATTTTCCCATTATAATCTAGTTCCTGAAGGGCAGCTAGGTGGCTCAGCGGGTAGAACATCAGCCCTGAAGTCAGGAGCACCTGAGTTCAAATCTGGCCTCAGAAACATGATACTCACTAGCTATGTGGCCCTGGGCAAGTCATTTAACCCCAAATGCTTTGCAAAAAAATAATAAATTATCTATACATATATTGTGTATGTGTGTGTATAAATATAATCTAGTTCCTGAGTGTTGCAGGCTGAGCTTTTGATGTCTCTGGTCTAGGACACTGAGAAATTTAGTGACTTGTCCAGGGTCATATATCTGTATGTGCTAGAAGCAGGACTTGAACCTAGGTGTTCCTGGCTCTAACATCACTTGCCTCTTTATCCACTACAATTGTTTGCACTTAAAATATCTTTCCTAAACTCCAGTCCCACATCATGAATTGCCTATTGGACATTTCCAAATGGACATCTCATAGACACTTCAAATTCAACACAGCCCAAGCAGAACTCATTATTTTACCCTCCAAGTGTATACCTCTTACTTCCCTATTACTGTTAAGGGAACCATCATCCTTCTGATCATCCACATTTTCAACCTAGGCATTATCCCTGACTCTTCCACATATCCAGGCAGTTGCCAAATCTTATCACGTCCACCTTCACAACATCTCAAGTCGGTCCCCCCTTCTCTAAGCTCATAGAGCTAGTACCTTAGCTAAAGACCTCATCACTCTCACCTGGTCTCCCTAATTAGGCTCCTAATTGTTCTCCTTGCCTCGATCTCTCCCTATTCTAATCCATAATCTGCATAACTTCCAAAATGATTTTCCTGATCTGATCACGTCTGGTCATGTCACCCAACCCGCTCAATAAATGTCAGTGGATCACTATTGCTTCTAGAATGAAACAGTATTTCATCTCTATCTCATCTTATTTTAAATTCCTTTTCTGGTATACATATTGGAATGTAATAATAATAATAGCTAACATGTACATAGTGCTTATTATATGCCAGACACTGTGCTAAGCACTTTACAAGTATTTCATTTGGTCCTTACAACAACTCTGGGAGGTAAATGCTGTTATTATCCTCATTTTACAGTTGAAGAAACAGGCATACATACAGAGGTTAAGTGACTTGTCCAAGGTCACAAAGGTAGTAAGTGTCCTAGGCTAGGTTTGACCTTATTTCCAGCTTGGTGCTCTGTCCCATGTGTCACATAGCTGACTCATGGATTGATTGTAGAGCAACAACTAAGATATTTGAGAGCCTTGAGGCCGTAGCACAAGAGAACTTGTGTTGTTACTCAGTCATTTTTGAGTTGTGTCCAACTCTTCATGACTGCATTTGGGGTTTTCTTGGCAAAGATACTGGAGCAGTTTGCCATTTCCTTCTCCGGCTCATTTTACAGATGAGGAAACACAGGCAGTCAGGGTTAAGTGACCTGCCCAGGGTCACACAACTAACTAGTAAGTGTCTGAGGCCAGATTTGAACTCAGGAAGATGACTTCCTGATTCCAGGCCCAGTGCTCTATCTATTGTGCTACTTAGCTGTCCACATAAAAGCCCTAGCTAAAGCAATTGGGAATGTTCCGTCTGGAGAAAAGGAGATATATTTTTTTTTATTTCTTCGTTTCAATCTCTGGTGGAAAGCTGGCTTTTAATTCAGGTGAGACATGATAGCTGTCTTCAGTGATTAGGAGGCCTGTTATGTGAAAGAGGGATTTGGCTTGAAAAAAGGAACAATGGGGTAGGACAGGGGAGGGCGGCAGATTCTGGCTCAGTGTAAGTACTGGTCACTTATGCTACTTATTCCCTTTCTGATCTTACTAAACAAAGCTCTTTGGAGGTGAGTTCCTCATCTATAAAGTGAGAACATTTGATTAAATGACATTTAGGGTCCCTTCTGATCCTAAATCTATGAGATCCAATGGCCCTGTCCAAAATGAGGACTTTCTCGGTATAAAATGGGCTGGATAAGGAGGTGCCACACACTAGAGACCTTCAAAGGAAAGCTGGATGTCTACTTACTGAGGGTATTGTAGAGGGGACTGCTGTATAGTTATATGTTCAAATAGTTGTCATCTGAGATTCTTCTCAGCTCTGAGATTCAATAGTGCTAGTAATTGTTGTTGAATGGCAGCATTATTTCATTCTATTTTTCAGAGACTGAAGCCCTTTCTCTTTTGGGTTAACAGTTCTTTAAAAACATTTTTCATAAGTTAACCCACGTATTGTTGGGTTATAGTTTTCGGATATTTGACAAGGTGATGATTCTACTGGCCTTTCAATTCCTTCAATCTCCTCATGGCAGATGCGACAATGACTGTCATTGTAAATGCATGCACTACCAGCTACTTTTTCCATACAGGATCCACAATGCAAGTTCCCCATGGTTCATTTCTTTATTGGTCTTACAGCAGAAGGAGTAAGAATATTTGGTATGCTGCTAGTTTCAGTTTTCTTCATAATTTTTTCTGAGCGATGCACCATAGATGAGTTCCGTATCTACCATCAGTTCTGACTTTCTTGGGATGTTTAGCCATGATGCCAGCAATAAAAAAGACTCTAGGGCACTTTTCAATGAGGCAAGGAGTATAGAACACATGCCAGCCGTGCAAGTTCTGCTTGTTGTCTGTAATACCTTGAATTCGTGGTAGTCTTTCAATCACAGAGTTTGAAGTCAATAGTCTCTAATAAAAAAAAAATTACACATTCAGGGGAATTTTCCCAATAGAAGGAGAAATGTGGTGTAGGGGAAAGAACAAAGGGCTGGGAGGCTCTGGAAGACTAAGTTCAGCTTCACCAGTTACTTGCTGTGTGGACAATCTCTTAACCTCTCTGAGCCTCAATTTTCTTGACTATGAAATGAGAAGAAGAATTACCTGACTGACCTCAGAGGGTTGTTGTGAGCTTTGTAGACAGTAAAGTGCTATATGAGTGCTATTTTCATTATTTTGGCTTACTAGCTATGTGACACTGGGCAAGTCACCTTAATGGAGGCAAGTCTGCCTCAGTTTCATCAGTTGTGAAAAGGGAACAATAATATCACCTGCCTGGAAGGGTTGTTGTAAAGATATTTGCAAAGTGTTTAGTATAGTGCCTGACACATAAGAGACACAATAAATGTGTCTTTCTTCTCCCTTGCCTTCCCTTCTTTCTTCCTTTCCCTTCTTTCCTTTCTTCCCTTCCCTTTTTTCACTCTCCTCCTTTCCTCCCTCCCTCCTTCTTTCTTTCCTCTATACCTCCCTCCCTCCCTTCCTTCCTTTCTTCCTTCCTTCTATCTCTTCCAGATCAAAATCGGTGATTCTGAGATGACCTCAAAGCACTATATTAATATAAGCTCTTATTACTTTTGTCATTACTACTAACTCTCCCTCATTTTCCTCATCTACAAAACAAAGTTGTTGCCCTGAATGATATTTAATGTCCCTTCAAGGTTTTAATAATCTGTTAGATTGTTAAGTCAAACTCAATTAAAAAAAAATCAGGCAAGCCAGTTGTTTGACTGAATTCTTGGTTGCTGTACTAAATTACCCAGTCAATTCAATCACAATAGTTGATCCAATATCCTTCTGTAGACAGAGCCCCAGGTTAACTATTTGTTGCTTATCATGACAGTGCAATAGTGTCATTGGATACGCATTTTGGCAAATGTCCACTTTGGTGATGGATCTATTAGAACTCCCCACCCACTCCCAGTTTATTTGAACTAACCTTGGCAAAAATAATAGCAACAGTCTTAGGCGAACAGGGGCCATTTCCACTTCAGAGCTCTCCTCCCATAGGTTCATATAAACAGATCTTGGCGGATCTCCTATTTTAATCGAAACACCCACTTGGCAACTGAACAACAGCAGTAAACTGTTTGTTGCTGGTGTCTGGCAAAAAAATAAAAAAAAAATAAAGAGTCTAATCCCAAATACCTCTGGGCTTTTTGCTTTATTAAGAACCTTGATAAATATAGTTCAGTAAGCATGTGGCAGTCCTTACTGCTTCTCAGATTTATGGCTAACTTTCAACCCTTACCAGCTAGGTCTACAATGTAGAAGTCTGTAGCATTTTTTTTTATTTGTAAGATTAAAACACAGAAAAGTGGAAACACCTGTTTCAGATTTCATCCTGACTCAGTCTGTCTTGCTTTGTGACTTCGGTCATTCCCCTGAAAACCTCTTTATTGTGGTTCTCCAGAACCCAAACCTGCTTCTACTTCTCAGACTGCTTGCTGGTCTTAGTTCATATGTGTAACCTTTTCAGAAGTGTGTTGACACGTTCGAAAATAAACCTGGAGAGATAAAGAATAACACGTAAACCGTAGGTGCATGAAAATCAACCAACTTGGCTCTCAGAGTGCTGGGATTAGGAAGGTCTGCTGAGGGATCAAATATCCTGTCTTGCTGGCTATTGGGAGGCAGGATTCCTTCAGCTCCCTATCTGCACAGCTGAGACTTGGGCTACTCTCACTGCTTCTTGGTGAAATTCTCCCCTTCCTGCTCCACCACCTCCCACTCCTAATCTACTGACCTCAGCTGGAAAGACCAGGGCAAATCCAAATTGCCATGTGGACCAAGTTTAGGCCAAAAAGGCACAACATCTTGGTTGGAAAGGTCAATGACAGTTTTTCTCCTCAAATAGCCCTGATCGATACAAAATGACGAGTTTACGAAAGAGCGTTTAGTTAACTTTAGCATAGAAAGTATATTCAACAGAAATACTATAGCACTTAGCCATGGTAGATATTGGAGAAGGAAATGACAAGCCACTTCAATATCTTGGCCAAGAAAATCCCAAATGGGGTCACGAAGAGTCAGATATGGCTGAAACGACTGAACAACAAAAGGGTAGATGTGGATCTCCTTAATTCCATGTGGAAATCTGCTTGGTCAGCAGGGTAAGGTGTCAAGTCCGAAGGGTCCTTATTCCATGTGGGTGGGCCATTTTATACCCTTAGGTAACCAGGAAGCCATATCAGTATGGCCAGCAAACATAGGGAAGCTGAATCATTGTGGATTAAACATGGTTTGAACCTTACCCCACTAAGATTTCTTAACCTGGGATTCCCCCCAGTCCCTATCAAGAGGATCTGTATATTGGTTATTTTAAGATATTTTATTAACTACTTCAATATAATTTGTTTCCTTTGCAATCCTATGTATTTTAGCTTTTGTCTTTAAAACCACAATTATTAGAATGGATCCTTAGATTTCACTAGACTGCAAAAAGGGGTCCATGATACACAAAAAAGTTAAGAACTCTTCCTAAGCCAAGCAAATCTTAGGGTTAGCTGCCTGGCATTTTAGGGAAAGAACTGGCCTAACCTACATGGTATTGGGGGTGAAGATGTAGAGGATATGGCTGATAGTGATCCTGGCGCAGGAGGCCTTAACCAAAGAAAGTCTTCCAGGTTCAGACCCATTAAGGAAGCCAGTTCAGTGAGAGAATCTCTCGCATTCCTCACAGGGCCAGTGGGGCATCTTCGCAGTAAACTTCTCAGATACCTGATGCTGTTTTATTGTTTTTTATTGGGGAAAGGAGGCCTATTTCTCTCAGACATTCATCTTGGCAGCCTGGCATCATGATACCTTTTCCCAATGGAGGTGACCAAAACAAAGAGTGTGGACTTGAGATGAGGATGCCTAATTTATAGTCCGGATACCATCACTAAGTCACTGAATTACTTTAGGTATGCTGCTTTACAAATCTGGGCTTCAGGGTCATAAGGTAATAGGATCATTAATTTACTCCTGAAAGGGCCCTTAGAAATAAAACACCCTTATTTTGCAGATAAGGAAAGTGAGGCACAGAGAGGTGAAGTGAGAGAAGAGGTGGAAAGGAGATTGTACTTGTGGTTCCTTTCAGCTCTAACATTCAATGTTTGATTAGAGAAAGGTAAGGGAACCGATTTTCTAGATACGCTGTGAGCAAGAGAAAGACTGAAGAAGGACTAGGACTTCTATTCAGAATTTATGGGAGAATGATAATGCACAATGGAGAGAAAACAAAACTATCTATCTACTGCTTATTTTGCTTCTGGTCCCCCCCCCCCGACCTACCAGAGAGAACAAACTTCAGGAGGGTAGAATAAAAAAAATTCACAAGGAGTTAAAACCAAATTGTTGCTAAGTCATTTCAGTCATGTCCCAACTGTTTGTGACCTCATTTGGAGTTTTCTTGGTAGAGATACCGAAGCAGTTTGCCATTTCCTTCTCCAGCTATTTCACAGGGGAGGAAACTGAGGGCAAACAGGGTTAAGTGACTTGTCCAGGATCATCCAGCTAGTAAGTGTCTGAGGACAGACGTGAACTCATGAAAATGAGTCTTCCTGACTCTAGGCCTGGCACTCTATTCATTACACCAACTAGCTGCTCTAAAACCAAATATAAACATTTAAAAACTCAAATATAAATAGAAAAATAAGCACCCAAATAATCTCAATGAGTTAGTCACCAAGTTAAGGTGAATTACATGCCAGGCTACTAAAAGATCTGTCAGGTGTGATTGTAGAACTCTAATCATTATCTTTGAAACATCTCAGATGATAGAAGTGATGTAGGACTAGTGATAGGACATATCAATTTTTTTAAAAGGGAAGAGAATCTAATCTCTAAGCTGAAAGTCAATGAACTTGATTTTGATTACTGACAAAATTATAAAATATACAATTAAGGGAATAATTTGTGAGAAATTAGAAAGAGAAAAAGTGATCACTACTAGCTGCAGAGGGTCATCTGGAATAGGTCATGCCAGCCCAAACTTTTTTTTTGACAGTTGTCAATGTCATGGACTCAGGCCCTGAGCCCTGGATCTTCTTATGTGTTCCTCAGGCAATTCTTTCTTCCCTTTCTTTTTAGAGATTATGAAGACTTAAGTAAATGATGACCAAGATAAATAGCATGAAACCACATTAGATTAATGGCCTCTCATGATTCTTTTCCAACATTGGTATCAATATATGGGGTGGACAACCCTAGAACACTTAGCACAGGTCAACCCTTTGCCACCTGTACTCACTCTCACAGTGAATTTCCCACATACCCACTGGGCCCACTAAACTCAACCTTCACTCACAATTCTCTCAGCCTTCAAAACTTACCATGCTGACCGTGACCGTGGCCGTGGGGGGGACACTTGCTCACTTTCTGTTCCTCAAGCATGGACTCAATCTTGACAGTGTCCCTTACCGCCACACCTAGGAGCTATTTTCTATCAGGACAGCTCCAAACACCAACAAGAGGAATATTTCTCTCAGCCTGTCTGGCCGGGCCTGGGGGCTAAACTGGCAACTGGGAACAGCTGTGTGCTGTCATCACCTTCTATGTGCAGCTGCTGCCTGTTTATTAGCGTCTTCAACTCTGACCCTAGACTGGTACACCAGGGGAATGCCCTCACACCAAGTCTCTCAGGCTATCTCAGGCTATGAAGTGATATGGATGATATGGAAGTCCAATAAGGCATGGAAGGATCATCAAGTTAGAGCTAGAAAGTAACTGTGAAGACATTTAGTCCAACCTCTTCACTTTACAGATAAGGAAACTGAGGCAAAAAGTGACAGGCTCAAAGTCACACTGGGATTGAATATTTGAATCTAGGTTTTCTGACATCTGAGCCAGCTGTATCACATTGTCTCAGTTGACTGGTCCTTAAAAATGGTGGTTAATAGATTAATCTCAGCCTGGAGGAAGGTCTCTAGTGGTCATGTTCTCTCCTTGTTCCTTTTTGGTTCAACATTTTTTTTCATCAGTTACATTGATGAAGAAATAGATAGCATGGTTATCAAGCTTGAGCCTGAGAGGCAGAGCTAACTGGTTGTATAAATTAAGAGACAACATGACCTCTGTAGGATAGAACAATGGGCTAAATATAACAAAGTACAATTAAAAAGAAATAAATGTGTAGTCCTACATTTCAATTTCAAAAATCAGATCCATAGATGTAGAATGCAGATACAGGATTACTACATAGTTGTTTTGTATTAGGTAATTCTAAGAGTTTTGATGAACTTTGGGCTTAACATGGGTTAAGAGTAGGACATGCCACAAAAAAGTGACCATACATGCACGATTTCTGGAATGAGGACATTTGCAGTTTCACTTCCTTGCCTTGTCAGATCACATGTATTCAGTTTTAGGGGCCACACTTTAGGAGAGCTATTGGTAAACTGGAGTTAATTTAGACAAGAGTGATGAGGACATTAAAAACCATATCACGAAAGGTTTTGTTTATCCCTAGCAAAGGTGATGGGAATATTTAGTTTGGCAAAGATCGAGAAGGCACAACAACTTTTTTTTTTCCATGGGTTTGAAGGCCTGTCGTGCGGAAAACGATTTTGATTTGTTTTTCATGGCCCCAGAGAACAGAATTAGGAAAGAATGGATGAAAGGAACACTAACAATTAGATTTGTTCAAAAATGGCATGGCCACCTCTGCGAAGTAGTGGGTTTCCCATTATTGGAAGCCTTCAAGCAGAGGCTAGCTAACCACTTGTTAGGAATACTATAAAGGGTACTTCTGCTGAGATACAGGTTAGGCTGGGTGACTTCTGATATCTCTGGACACTCTAAAATTCGGTGGCTTTGTGAGGTGATTAGCTCAGAGAAGAGAAGGCTGAGGGGCTGTTTTGGAGGCTACAAAATAATTAGATCTTTAAGAATATATAACTTACATGTAGATGCCAAACATACATGTATATCATTACATGTAGTTACCAAACACACACCTATATACCAAACATATACATAGTACCAAGGAATTTATAACTTATATGCAGATATCTCTCTCAATATATAACATATATATAACATATAATGCATTATATATGTTAAATAGCATATTATATTATCATAAAACATATATATTCATTATCTACATGTAAGTATTTTGTATCTATATATAGTTATAACCTCTATGTGTATATATATCACACACACACACACACACACACACACACACACATATATATATACATAGAAAGAGAGAGTTATAATTATAGTTATAGGGAGATAGTTATAATACAAATGAATCAGAATTAGAAGGAACCTCAGTTTCCTTCTCTATAGAATGAGGAAGTTGGATTGGACAACCTTTGAGGTTTCTTCCACCTCTAAATCTATAATTCTATGCCTTTAGATAATCTCTACTACTCCAGTCCTTAACAGATGAAGAAAATGAGGCTTATAGATGGTAAGTGACTTTCTCAAGGTCACAGAGGTGGTAAAGCCAGTATTCAGACTCATGTCCTTTGACTTTATATTAGTGCTTTTTTTCCTATCCATACCACATTGGCCC